CATCCCACCTTTTAAGGCCTGAAGTATTTACCTGTAAACTTGTACAGTACTTGGAAAAGAAATTGCATTTAATTTGAAATTGGAAAAAAAAAAGTTTTTGATACCTTTTTTTTTCTAAACCCAGAGTAAACTTGTTCAAGATGTTCAAGAGTGACAGTTTCCTCTCCTCTTAAGTTATTTATGTTCTTATGTGTGCTAGTTTGAACTGCGGTTTGCTTAAAATATATTTCTTTTCTCGCCACCATCATCAATGAAGAAAAAACAAAAAACAAAAAAGAAGTCAGTGTGATGAAGTCAATGTTACATTCTCATTTTTGTCTTTCTTATCCTGTGGCATGGTTTGGGTAGACAAGCAGAAGAAAAATGCCTGTAAATTTACTTTTCTTTTTTATTTTCATCTTTTTTAATTTAATTGAAATTTTTTTTTAAATTTTCATTTCATAATCTCGGTTAAAAAAAATAGGTAAACGTGCACTGAAAATGTCTAAAATTGAGTTGAAATGTCGTAGGTGATGTAGGCCGTAAAAACACACGATTAAAAAGTTAAAAACTACTGTCTGATTTTAATGTTCACTGTGTTTTATACAGTATTCGAAATTTTTTTGTTCACTTTGAACATTTTTACTAAAAAGAAAACAACAAAAAAAATTTCAAATTGTATTGTGCAAAGAGATGTAATTTTTGGAGTACTTGAAATGCATTAATTAAAAGACTCATTCAAAATAAAATAGACCTGTTTACTGTCTGCGAAGTATGTGCTCTCTGGTTTTTCACAGTTTTATATGCTCTACGTTCTTATTTAAGGCAGTGAATTTAACTAAAATGAACAAAATGTTCACTAAGGTCAGGGGTGTCCCTGTAGGAGGTGGGTTGGGATCGTTTGAGGAAACTATCTTTAAACATAAAGAAAATAAAGCATATCCACCAGTTTTATAGAGAAAATGATGCATTTATGACTCAGAAATTGTCTCCCGCCCCACAGAACGCCCCTCCCAGTGAAGATGTGCTGAAGTGGGAGTGTCTGAAACAGTAGGAGGTTCTTAAAGAGACAGAGGCCTATTTCAAGGTGTTTAGAGAGGCTATGATGCAAAGTCAACCATTTAGAAGGAAGAATAAATCTTTGATCATTTCAGTCACTCATAATTTGTATTGAGACTTTCAACCAGCCCTACATGCTGCAGCCAGAGGAGAAGGAAGTAGATGAAATTGTAGTTAAGTCCAGACATTATTTGGCAGTTTTGTTGCATGTGACGTATTAGTTCAGAAAATAGAGAAAACTGAACAAGTTGAAAAATACGACCCAAACAGAATATAAAGTTATCCACGCAGCACCGGGAGAGACTAAGTTCAAATTATCTGCACTCCTAGTGACAAAAAGTATTTGACAGCTAAAATGTGGATTTTGCGCACGTCCCCTTTAAACAAGACATGGCTTTCAAAGGTCTTTGTTTTCTAGTTTCCCTTTTATTCTTGAAATTATCTCAATATTTCAGCTTTAAATTCTTAGTTTGTTCCCTCACTGTTGGACCGATGTAGTTGATTTGTTTGTTTGGTCTGGTGGTTGCAGTACAGAGACTCTGGCAGCAGAGGGAGCACTGGCTTCAGGTAAAAGTGTTGAGCCCTGCAGTCCTCTCCATATCCATCTCACTTTAAGGCTCTGAGTCCTTCGTCCTCAGTCTAACTACATCCAGCTGCATCTCTAACATCCTTCTACCAATATACCCACTGTCCCTCCTCTGGACATGTCCAAACCGTCTCAGTCTAACTTTATCTCCCACTCCTTCGACCTGAGCTGTACCTCTGTACCTCTGCCTTTCATTCCTGTTTTCAGCTGCACGCCTCCATCTCTTCAAGTTCTCTTCCACCTGCTCCATTTCCAACACGGATAATAAAGTGTTTGACTGTCTGTAACCTGAAGGATCTCAGATAAATCAACACGTTACTGTTTGCTTCATTTCTTCTTCTTTTATAAATGTGTTTTAAACTCTCCACACAGTATTTAATCACTGATCTGTCATTGGTGATGTAGCCACAGGACAACATGTCTGAGACTGGGAGCATGTCTTTGCACACATGCACCAATATCTGATTTGTTATTGATTCTCCCTGTTGTGTCACACAGCAGTTAGACTCCAGTGTTTCCAGGAACAGTAATATTCAGACGCTCTCTCTCCACATGCAGGTCTATGTTAGTTCCAGCTGTCTGTGAGGAGCTGACATCACAACCCATCAGTGAGTTGATGCTTTCAGTCATAAAAGCTGACAGACTCACCCACACTGAACCGACTGGTATTTAACTGGAATACTACAGATTAAACTGTGAAAACAGAATCAGGTTTCAGGTTCATACTCTTTTATTCACAGGCTGCTCACATTTATTAAAATGTCTTGATTAATCTTAAATACATGCCTTTTTTTATTAAATCAGCTGTGATGAGAAAAAGAGCAAATGACTTGAAGGGAATTACTGTTTCAGAAAAACTATCCTTTATAATGAACTCATAAGTTTTTTTTTTGTTCATAACCTTTCTACAAAACCTACTTCAAAAGATTTGAACTATCCTTTTATTGTCTAAGATCTGATCAAACAGGTGTGAACACAGATACAGTGGAGCAGCTGAACCCATTTTACTCTAATTCCCATAAATGAAATGAAGTGAAAGAATTAGATTTTTGTAGAAATTTAATGCAGTTGAATAAAGCTAACTGAAAAAAATTAATACATCAAGGAGCATTCCTCGTGTGGATTAAAACAGCTCAATGAAAAATAAAAATTACAACAAGTAAATAAATAGGGTCAGAATCAGTGAGAGAACTGAGATCCAAGCTAAAGGGACACTTGCATGCACGTCGGACTAGTGCTCTGTTTTTACTTTATATACATCTTGTATTTACACCTCAGTGACTTTAACAGTCTGGGAATAGTTTAGGACTAACAAGACTGGAGTTTTCCTGTGCTTAGGAAACATAAAAATAAAAAAACAAACTAAAAAACATGACAGCCCACTATGTTTTTATTTAAGCCTCAGTAAAGAACAAAATAATCTGAGATGTTACTGCTGTAAATTAAAAAAAAATTTCTTTGTTTGTTGGACTTCTGAAGGCTTTCGAGGACAGTGTGTCTCTGCAGAGCACAAAGTCACACAGAACAGTAACTGTCCTGCTAATGATGAGGGCCAGTCTGGTCTGGTCGCTCCTCGTCGCTCACACGTGAGGCTTGTGTCCCTGTAAGTCAGGGATGTCCGAAGTGTGGCCCGGGGGGCATTTATAGCCCCTTATTTCAGTTTAAGAGTTATGCTAATTTGTTTACAAATTTGTCCTCTCAGCACAGGTGTTTGATGTTGATGGAGACTTTCTATTTATTATTAGGGTAAATTTATCACAAAGTAAAATCTTATAATAAAAAATATTGGCAACAATACCAATTATTTGTCTTTAAATAACCAGACTCGTAGCTTTTTCCACATCTTTCTAGTGACTTATACTCAAAAGCTGATTTTGCTGCACTCCAATCTGCTTTTAATTAATTTATTAAACTCACCTGAATACAGCAAGCATCTTCAATGAGAGTGACCTAAATCCTGATTTTATTGATCTGAATTGACTAAATTGGGTTATTTTTCCCCAGTTATAACCTAGAAAATTGAAAAATTTCTTTCAATAATGGAAACCTACAAAACACTTTTAAAATTCTGGATCTAGATTAATTTACACACCCATTTCCAGCAATAAATCTGACTCCTTTACTTGTTTAATTAAAGTATTCAAATCTTAGTTTATTGTTGAGCAGGTAAAGGAAAAATATTTTTGGCCCTCAAGTCCTTCTGACTATGATTTTGGCCCACGTGACAAAATGTTTGGACACCCCTGCTCTAAGTCATGGCGATCATCTCATATTTGTCTTTAAGGCTGCTGTCCTCGTCCTCTTCCTCCTCCTCCTCCTCCTCTTCCTCCTCGTGGGCCTTCTCGGCCTCGTCGTGGGGATGGTGCAGCTCGATCAGCAGGAAGTAGATGATGGCGGCGACCACGCCTCCCACCATGGGCCCTGCCACTGGGATCCACCACCAGTTGTCCCCCGTGCTGTAAGTACCGGTGCATTAACTCACACACGTGTTAATGGAGGCCACTGTAGGTCAGCATCAGATCTACAAACACATCGACTGCATCTGCCGCACACGACCCAACATGTGACGTTACACAACATCAGCTGTCAAACCTCTCGCAATCACATAACTCAAATGCCGCTGCTCGGTTTGTCTGACTAGACCGAGCAGATCCCCATCCTGCAGTTACCTGAAGACCTCCATCCCCCACCCTGCCACCGCCGTGAACAGTCGGGGTCCCAGGTCTCGAGCGGGGTTCACGGGGTAACCGCAGTTTAGACCCATGGACACGCTGATGGCCGTGATGATCAGGCCGATGGCCAGCGGCTCCACGCCTTTAGGAGCGCCGATATTCCCGCCATCGATGATGGCGAGAATACACAGAACCAGCATGCCTGTACCCACCACCTGCGGGATGACAGCTTCTGTTACAAATGGAATAAAAGCTCCTAAAATACAAAATGTCACTCAGGGTAACGGTCACAAAATTTACAAAACCACATAAATGAGAATGAGAGTCAGAATCAAAGTGGATCTCTAGAACAGGAAGCTAATGATACACAGTAATATAAATTTAAATAAAATACTGACTTCCTTTGGTCTTGTGTTCAGCTTCACTCATTCTGGAATAAAATATTTTTATTTCTTCTCAAAAGCCTTTGGGAAACAATGGGACCCAGATCCACTTATTGCCATTATTGGGGCTTCTAATGTTTTGCAGTCAGCCAATAAATGGGAAAAAAGTCAGTTTTGTTTGGTATGGCGATAGCTAAAAAGTTGATTTTGAGAGTTTGGAAGTGGCTATGGGAACTGGCAAACACGCTATACCTGGAAAGACTGAGGTACTACAACGAAGACAGAGTCAACATATTTGAGAAAGTATGGGATCCTGTACTGAAATTAAAAAAAAAAACTGTACTGAAATTCCTTCAGTAAAATTAAAAAAAAGAAAACAAAACTGCGAACAAGCAAATTGTTAACATTTAGTAATATAACAGCCCTTTCTCTTTTGGATACTCAGACAAAGATCAGTTTGTGATATATATATATATATCCAGCATTGTCTTGATTGTGTAGCTGATATATATACCGTGTATATATA